GAATTCATTTTCCTTTTTCCCTCCTTTTTCTTTTCCTTCATTTTCTCTTTTGGGCTGCCGGCCCATCTCCTCCCGCGCTCGGCCTCCTCTTCGTTGGGCCAGCCCGCGCCTCTCTCTCCTCTCTGGGACGCCGACAGGTGGGCCCCACCTGTCGGTCCTTTCCTACCTCCGGCCGTTGGAGCCGGAGCTCCAACCGCCCGCGCCGCCGCGCCCACGCCGCGCCGCTCCCGCGTTCTTCCCCCTCGTCGCCCGCCCACGCCCCGCCTTCCCGCCCGCGCATGAGCGCCCAAAAAGGGTGGGATTCGGTTTGAATCCCCCACTCTCTCTTCACCGTCCCCACTAACTCCGGCAAAATCGAGCCTCCTCCCGGCCACGATCGGCTCCTCCGCCCCTATATAATCCATCCCCGCATCCTCCTCTCCTTTTTTTCCCTTTTCGCCGCGTTCTCGCACACTCTCTACCGCGCCTGCGCTGAACTCCACTAGCGCCGCCGCTCGCCGCCGTGCTCTGGCCGCACGCCACCACCGCTAGAGTCGTTGTCGCCGCCGGGTTCGCAAGCTTGTGCGCTACCCCGTCCGTCGTTTCCCCGGTCAATCCCGCCGCCGGAGCATGCTTCTCCTCGCGCGCCGGTGAGCACCACCACTTTCGCCGCCTTCGGCCATGGTTTCCGCTCGCCGTGGACCACCCCTCTCCCTCCATTTTGTCCCCTAGGTGGTCCCAGAGCTTGTCCGCCCATCGTCGTCGCCCTCCGATCGCTCACCGTCGCCATTCGTCGTCGCCTCCTCCCGCGCCGGCCAACTCACGGTGAGGCACCCCTTCCCCTCTTTCCCCCTTCCTCTCCCTCCTAGCGCCGAGCCGGGCCGAGCCGCCACCTTCCGAGGACTCCTTCGGACTAAGACTCCTGTTCTATTCCTACTCCACTAGCTCTAGAACACTACTAAACTTGAGATGGAGGGAGTAAGGGCCTTTTATTGCTTGAGTATGATGGTTACGACGGTTGGAAAGGTTGATAATACCCTCCAACCATCATAGGGAGCCAATCTCAACCGTCCA